CTATACTTACAGGAACCTGAGTGAAGGGAAGATCAATTACCCAAGACCTGTCTCTTATACACATCTAGATGTGTATGAGAGAGAGGTTTAGTGTTTTGTAAAACACACACACACCATCTCTCCTCTCCCTCTTTTGCCACTGCAATCCATTGCTTGCACACTAAGATATACACACGGAGAAAATGTGTATGGAGGGGTCCCGGTCAGAACTGGGAGCTTCTACTGAGATTTTGTTTTAGACTTGGTGGTATACAGAGTTCTATAGACCATATTCGGGAATTGTTTCATCTATTGCTTTATTCTCATTAAGTACAAAATAAATTAACCCTGGTGATGAATATTCCTTCATTTCTTCCCCACTGGCTCATGTGTGCTGGTTTGCCTCCCCATGCAGGTGATTGCCGCAGGTAATCATTCAACTCTTTCAGTCCCAAGTCGCTCACTCCTGGAGTTAAAAACCTGCAGCCTGCAACAAGCAGTTCGAATAAGTGAGCTACCGTCTTCGCCCGAATACGGCGTGCGGTTATTGTAGTTGTCATTCACGAGTTCCGATGTGCGTTTCATTCATGGTTCCAACCACTCTTATAATGACCTTTCGGCACAATCATTCGGCCAACTGCAGACCCAAAGCCCTAAACAAGTACACCAAATCCGTCCGACCATGCTGTTGAGACCAAGACCCGGACCAAAAATTGCGCCCAGACCTGACCTTCGAACTCAAACAGTGACCATGACCTCGACAAAACCTCACATACAACCATACATGTCAAACTTAGGCCTCCACCTCCAACCTGATTCAAAACCACAATATGAATCCATCCGTGATAAAAAAACAGACCCGTCTTCGTGCGTTGTGCTATGCTACATTGCGTTCCTATGCGAAATTGCATTCCCAGGTCAAGACCCGCTTCCACACCTCAAACAAAGACTAGCAATTATGTGCCAAGACTCATTTCAAGAAGCCCACAATGCATACCCAGACCCTGTTTCTAATGCAGAACTTACACACAGCTCCAGACTCTGAATCGACACATTACAGAAGAATCAGACTCGTTTATATGTCAAATGCAGGCATAGACCTAGACCCTAACCCGAAATCCAAATCCAACACTTATGCTATTTTGACTATAACATCAAAATCGACATGTGCATCCTGAGGAAATCTTGAAGATGGCATCAACATAAACATCGACACTAAAGTGCTCTGTTGAAGATAAGATCAACATAGATATGGAGATCCGAGCGCTTTGTTAAATAGGATAATGTCTAATACAGGCCTAGACACATACCCTGACCCCGACTTATGATTTACATCCCTTCCCTGCATTGCTATTTTGAATATAAGATCAGACCTTCAACAGGACCCTCTCCCAGGCACTTGGCACAAATCTTACACCTATGACATTGGGACAATAACATCAAAATGAACATGTGCATCTCAAGCAATCTTGAAGATGATATCAACATAGATATCGGGACCCAGATACTTCGTTGAAGATGAAATCAATATAGATATGGAGACCCGCACACTTTGTTAAAGAGGACAATGTCTAATGCTAGCGTGGAGGACAATGTCTAATGTTGGCCTAGACTCGTACCCTAACCTACACCTTTGCCCTAGGTCGTTGCCCTGCATTGCTATTTTAAACATAAGATCAGACCATGACCAAAACCCTCACCCGAACATCTGAACCAAATCCAACAGCAATGCGAGTTTGACTATGATTTCAAAATCATCATGTGTATCTGGAGGCAATCTTGAAGATAACATCAACATAGAAGTCGAGACTCATATGCTCCGTAGAAGATAAGATCAACATATACATGGGGACCCGGACACTTTGTTAAAGTGGACAATCCCAAATGCAG